CTATGTATATACAAACCAAAGCGGGGTGTTTTAGGAAATAATATAGCCAACAGATGCTGTAATTCTTCAAGAGGATATGTTAGTAAGGCACGTGAGTCATCAAGGTCAGTATACGTACAAATCACTCGTTTGACTATGTGATTTTTGGTTGGTAATCACCCGGGATTAATTAAAAGCCACATAACCCCCACGTCTTTTGAATTTTTCCAGATTTATTGGGATCACATACCTAGTGGATAAGTTGTATACCATAACATAATCTCATTTTATTCCCTCACCGATATTAAAACCCACAGTTTATTTCCACAGGTTCAATCCTTATTATTCGTCTCAGAAAGGACAGAGTCGATCAAACTGATTCGCAAAGTAGTGTATTCATCGAAAACAGTCCAATCTGGGTTCAAATAGAACATAAGATTGACGGAACCTCAGGGACTGCGCCTGCCTGGTGAGCCCCAAGAAGGGCGAAACCGGTCGTGGGCTGTCTAAGAGTTTTCAGCAACCTTGTGAGTAATCTTCTTTATGAAAATATACTGCGATATCTCGAATATCGTACCAACTGAATCATGAGGCGACCTGTGTGCAGCACATTCAGTTGTAGAATATCATGAACGAAGGATTCAGTTTAGTCTCTCGTGAAAACCAAATTGATTTGCAAACTAATGTATTTCTTGAAGTCGATCAGTTGTTTAGACCGAAGTGAATGAACGACGCATCTAACAGCTGGTTTACGGCACTTCCTTAGTATGTGCCTCATTTTCAAACTCAATTCACTGGTACTCCTTTATTCGTTCAAAATGTTTGAATTCAAATATGCTGCTAATATATGAGTAAGGTGCCAACAGCCAACTGTTAGGTGCTCAAAGCTTGCGGTGTTTGCAAGCCAGTTTTCTGTAGATGGTCACTCCTCATACAGGAGGTCAGCTTCACCGCTTCCATACTTTTGGGAATGCTATTAACCAAGCAGAAACATGTCACGGTCCACATAAACACCTAGGCGCACAGTGTGATCATACCCCCAGAATGTATAAGAGCTGACAGTCTGACTGTTGTTAGCCTGCCCGAAATTGTCAAAACCAAGCAACAGACTCCAGCAAGTACAGCCGTCAAAGTAATTGTAGCGCATTAGTACATACATATTAATGCCTATTTATTTCTTTTCTGGGATAGCATTGTGCGAAATACACACAAGGAATATCTTGGTAGGCGATTTCTCACACAAGTGATGTTCAGCATACTGAAATACCTCCAGCATGTTCAGAGAAATGATGACGAAACCCTAAAAGTGACTGAACCCACCTTTCATTTCCAAGCTGAAGGCGCTAAATTATATGTTTGGGTTAAATAATGTGATGGGCAACGGCGGGTACTAGGTTTCTTGTGGTAAGTGATAGCAGACCATACTTCGCTTAACATCATCATCACTCTTCACCGCTCCGAGACAAAGTCGGCTTCTTTCTACAACCCGTAGGCTTCGAAGCAGAAACTTTTCGCCGGCTATACGAAGGTGTAGGTTCATCAGCGTGGACCCACAAAAGCACTCCCCTAATGTATGGCATATCTACGGCGGTCGTCGGTCGAACTAGCCATTAAACAGTCTATAAACAGATACTTGTCCATTTATACAGGTCTATCTCATTAGGATTATCGCAACATTTTGAAATTGAAGGGAGCACAGTGGAAATAGCTTCTAAGTAGGAAGCAGGGCGGAAATAGTCGCATACATAAGTTAGAATTCCTCATACATAATCAAAATAGGAAGTAGAGAAATTTCTGAAAGAAGCTTACTACTACTGAGCGGTGCTGTAATGAGACAGGTTGCAGTGTTAATGCATCTAATTAGTGAACAAATCTTTCCGTACCTATCATTCTCATACAAATATCGTGATACAGCATAAGCCTGTGCGTTGGATTAACCGTAAAACTCTTTTTTTGTTGGAATCCAGAGGAGTATACTCTCCTTATTTTGAAAACCGTATTTCAAGGTGCTGCAGTGTCGGTAGAGGTTTAAATCCTCCCCATGTATTAAAACACTAGCCAAAGATCTTGTTTCTTACCGGTTGATAATACATAAACGCCTAAAGCACCGGTAAGGTGACTATATTTCGGTTACTCTAAGAACTTTTTCTACAAATCGTTATGAGATGCCGACTTTGAGTTATGTTGCAACGGAATGATCGATGCTCATGATCTTGTCTTAAATCAGTTAATGCTTGACATAATCTTACAGGTAATATTTCCAAGTCAAGGTATATGCTTGTATCGTGACATGTCAAATATCGTAGCGACTGAAAAATGAGGCGGCTTGGTGTAGCACATCCACTTGCCTGGAAACATCATAAACGAGAGATTCAGCTGGGTTCCAGGCGAGTCTCTCGAAAAACCAATTCAGTTTGCCAATGAGTGTAGTTCGCTAGTTGACGGAAACCCGGGAACTGCGCCTACCTGATGAGTCCCAAAAAGGGCGAAACCAGTTGTGGACTGTAGACGAATTTTCAGCAAACTTATGAATAGTGCATTAAAAATAGCCACTATGCTCGTTTATTATATTGGCGTGGGTCGGCCACAGACATCAATGCACTGGCGTTTTTTCGATTCCACCTATTGAAACTATCTTATCGCCATCTACTTCATTCAACGTTTAACTTTTCCTGCAGGAATTAATAAAATATTCGATCCAGAGAATTTCCGACTTACGAATTGAATGAATAGTTTACCATGTGGACAGTTACTTGTACGTGAGTATTTCCATGTGCTCCATATTTGCACAGGATGGACATCTCCACGTACCGAAAATATCGCCGTGAGAAACCAAGCAACCATTGATGCACGACCAGGCCAAATAAAACGAATGAACATGTGATCATACCCGCAGTATAAAAGTAAGAAAAAATTGCCACGATATTTATCACAATTTCAGGCTAAACTACATGATTACGAGAACAAAATCTTGGGTTTCAAGGAGCTTGGGAAGTCGAACTTGCGACCGAAGCTACTATTGAAGATTGACGAAAAACGCTTTTTGTGTACTCTTCGTGTGAATGTTCTCACTAAAGGGTGAGGGATAAAAATACACCGGAGTAAAAGAGCAAGAATGGGAACTTGGAGGCACGAGACAACAAGCATATCAGTAGGTGAAAAGCAGAGCAGGTACTTGGCATCAACACTAGCGTTTCACGTATCACACGTACAGTTTTGTGTTCCTATAAAAAATAAGCCTGGTGGAGTTTCGGTGATAAGGTCTACCTGGCTGGGCCAAAGAAGGCAAAAACAAGCAGTAAGCCGTTTGGAGGTTTTCGCGAGCTTTTGAGTAGTAACATGATTGTCCTTACGTTCTCTCTGGATACGGTGCCGGTACTACCGGACGCAACCTATGCAGTTGAAGAAGCAGTGCGTTCAGAAACAGCAAATTTGAGCCGCTATCTCTCATATGCAACTGTCACGGTTCAAACGGATACACAACTTTGCATATGTCCTCACTCTTCTTAATAATTCATGTTTGGGCGTAAGTCTATTGACGTTCAAAGATATACTGGATAACATAGCCTCTCAATCAATAGTATGCCACTTGTGGATCGGGTCCCCGCAAAAAACCAAACTTTTGATTTGATCAATACGGTAAATCATAATAGAGTCAGTCTCTATCTAATGTGTCCACATCTACTGACTTATCCGTTTTACATTCGGAGAAGCATCTACTTTGGGCTGCACACACAACTTTAATGTGACAGCAGAATTGTATTTACCACTACTATAGTTTCCGCGCCTATATTGGCTAGTGTGCCTTTATTTTCGTTACGCATCAATATGTAGGATCAATTTTCAAGGAAGTGTCAAGAAGTGATGTGGTGAAGTTTTAAAAGAAACATTTTTACACTTTTATTTCTGTGATTACTACTACAGATTCAAACTTCTCGCTGCCATATCGACAGTGCGTATTAAACCCAATGATGTATGGTGCTGTTCGAGGGACAGAAGGTTATGGGATTGGACGATGTTGAATACTCATAATTGCCTTCCAGGTGAGTCATCAAGGATTGCATTTTTCTTTGAACCAATTGCACAATCTGCACACGGTTTGCCATATAAATTCCCGCACACCCGATATTGTGACAACCAAAATGCAAGGAATAATGCAGGCGCCGAGCATGATCAAGGCTAACTCAATATCCTGTACAATCGATTTTAGTAGGTATTCCATAGACCGGAAAACTGCTAGCAAGCTGGTGATTTCTTCGACAGAATGGCAACACAATAATGTGATGCAAATAAATATCGTAGTCATTGTGAGCCGACGTAATCCGTCTCGCATCCTTTTGGCCTCGTCACTCTGAGCATCACTCTGATTGTTACGCATCCTCTTTCTGATCACATGGATCACCATTGACTGAGAAACCAGAAACACCACAAAAGGCAAAACATAGTTCGCAAAAAACCATACAAAACCGAAAAACTGTTGCCATGTGTACAACATGTCATCACTAGGTGACTGATACCCACAAGTTCCATTCACATATCGATGCAACATAGATTTGGGAAGGAACAATATAAGCACCATGAAGATCAGATAGCAGATTGATGCAATTTTCAGTGAACGACTGTGAAGTTTGTATACAACTGGGTATAAAACGGCCAGAAAACGATCCAAGGATGCACATACAAAGTTCTGCATGTTTAGAATGAAACCAAGCCAAAATGGCTGATCGTTTTCCCACAAATAACATAGAATTACGTTGACTATGAATGAGCTTGTCGAACAAGAGTTGTCAATTACTCTAGACATTAGCAACATTACACACATGTAAAATCCAATAATACACTGACTGCGGATAAGAAAAGTTGTTAGTTCTGACCCGATGTTGACAAACAAGAGAGTGCAGAATGCAACACCGTTTAGAGCTAATCCAAGACCGCTAGACGTAAGCAATAAAATCCGAAAATCCATAAGACTGCCCAGAAAATGCTTTTGTCACGTACATTCATGTAAAATCTTCATTACTTCATTTATAATATGATATTAACCGCAGATCTATTTGCTTGCAGTTCACCAATAATATTTCACCTCCTCTGATTGGCCCAATCCATGTAAATCAAGAAATTTTAGACCACTCTTCATTTGACAAAATCCAGGCGTTTGAATTGGGCTTCTGTGCATACAGTAAAGTTCATTGGTTGTCTGACTGAAAGGGCTTATTCTGCAATGCCTTTTCTTTGGAACTGACGCTGTCTAGTGGATGTGTCCCATAATCTTTGTTTGTATGGTTCACTCGATTTTCAAACCACTGAAAAGTAGAAATCATTTGAACGCAATTTTTAGGACAATCTTACACAGCATTTGTATAAAACTCTTTAGGAATCGGTTACTGGAGCTCATATGACTTCACGTGGTGAAGGTTTGGATGCGTTGGATGGTGGTACGCCTGACATATTTGGACCCAAGTGAGAATTACACGACCCCCGTATCCTGCAAGTACGACTTCCACACTTTCTATTCTAGTTTACCGGGACGCACGATGGCAACAAACAGCCTAATTTATGTTTTTAAGATCGTTCACCGTAGGTTTTTTTTATAACATAATATCTTGAAGAAAACTACTCGCGCCAACTCTGTGTGTATTGAGATAAGTCGAAAATCGTACGAAGGGTGACATAGAGCGGCGACCTTTGTGCACTCAAATCAATGAATGCTGTGAACAAGGGGTTCAGCTAGGAACCATTTGAGTTTCCCTTTAAAACCATATTAGTATGCAAATGAGATTAACCGTTTACATGATGTTACTTACAGTGTTAGGTGAAGTGTTCCAGCAGCTGCTCATCGATTCATCCAGGTTGAGGCTCAAAACCGAGGCCTTCTCTCTAAATTTTTTTCCACAGAAACGTCAGTCTACTTAATCTCAAAAGCTATCTGAGTTGTACATTCAGACGGAACCACACAAAAATCATAGTTGAATCATGGATGAAACGTAAGGCGGTGAGTAGAGTTATCAGTTTCACTCCTACCACTTTTCTGAGCTCCACAAACATCTGGAGGTCATGGACTCTAGTGATCTCCAAATGTACCGATAAATGTCTTGAAACAACTTGACGGGGATCTCAGAGCTTCTCCATAGAAGTATGAAGAGCATTTGGCTTGTAGCCTAAAAACAGGTTGCTCAATGCCCAAATTGCGGCCTGGAGTGCTGCAAACATTCGATTCAGCTAGAGTGACACCAAATCTCTATTCGGTACATCAACAAGCAGTGCGAATACCGCAGCGTCTTAAGGCAAAACTGGCATTTTTAGTTTTATTGAGTACAAGAATCCGGGCTTATGCCAGCCGACAGGACCTAGGCGATACTACATGTCCATATGATGGTGGATTAAAAGAATGCTGGACAACTTCAAATGGGACAAATGTGTCTTCCACGTGAACGGTAGTTTTCAGTCATTAATAGCTGATCCAAATAAGGATCGTCCTACCTGTCTCTCGGCTCTTCTCTGATTGTACGTCTATGGACATAGCTTGAAATTATTGAGGTTTTATGATTTTGATGCAGGTATATCTTAATATCAGTGGACCGATACACCCGTAACGCGTCTCAGTGACAGCGAAAGGATGGTGGAATACGGATTCGCATTTCTGTGCCCGGAAAGGCATTTGGATTCAAATGACGTCCATCTTGACAACGCTGTTGCTATGTGGAGTGAACAAGCAAGTTGTTATTGTTTCGGCGTATGGAATTTTTACTCATTGTCGTTTGATATTTGGCTTATTGCATGTTTTGGATATCCATTATTCCCTTGCTAAAGGAAATATTTTCAGGTCGATGCATTCTCGATGTGTATATTTGACAGGGAGAGGAATTGTCATATGTTAAGAGTTCATCAAAAGCTATCTGAAACAGATCAATACAACTGCATCTATTCCTGGATGTTTTAAACATCCTTTATGAATGTGTAATCACTTGTCTGCACTTGAGATGGCAGATGATCAGTGCTCTTGCTTAACCTTGGTTGAGGCAATCATGCGATCTGGACTACCCACATATTTGGAACAACTTACGTCTTTTTCAAATGAACTCAAGCAAGAACCGCGAAGTAAACTATATCTCAGTGAGGTGTTCTGATCTAAGTACGAAAACAGCGGCAATTAATTATATCAACAACAATGCGGTGATCGTGTATTGCTCTGGATTATTCCCGTTGTCCGAAGTACAACATGTGGGTAATTTCAGTGTCCCAACGAACGTTGTCATCTGCATATCCACGGCTCATCAATCTCTCACTTGTTTCAAAAGTTGACAGGTTTATGTTCTGCCATCCTGTTGGCAAGGTTACCCATGTTGTTGACGAAGCAGTCTCAATTGCTCCGATTGCGAAGAACTTAGTATTAAAGTAAGGTAGGAGGCTTTTGGGGACTGCGTCTGCCTGTTGATTCTGAAGAAGCACGAAACCGGTACTGGAAGTAATAGACGCCTGAATTAAAGAAAGGTGAATTTTCGGGTTTCGGGAATCCCTATTTGGCTCTCAAATGGATCCAAACATTTACAACGCTAATCCGTTTAAAATGCTCACGGGATTAGACTACACTCATTCCCTATTCCCCCTACATCATCGTTTTCTCTAACACACACCGTGCCCGTTGGTAACTGGTTTTTACTCTCTGGATCTAGGTTGGTGCGGGTGCAAGCCAAGATATCAAAATAAAATCTGAAGAATCAGGCCAGGGAGCCGATGAAAGAAATCGTACGGCCTGAACCTTGAGAACACATATCCACAATGTATGACTGTGAGCTGATTAATGAACGCGGTACACTGACACTCCGGATAGTATACTTTCTCAGTAACGAAAGCCACAAAATGGTTTTCAAACCAACGGATTACCTCCTACAGGTGGTGAAATCAATGATTTTACACTGATGAACTGAGAAATACATTTGTTTTCAGTCTGATTTGCTCGAAAGTCGCTACATTAGTATAAGTAGAACACGGTTTAATCAGGAAGTCGGTCGTGCATCTCTCGTTGTCCCTATTTACGGCAATGCAACCAGGTCTTGCACCACATTACTGCCAACTATAGATTAGCCAGATAATAGAGGGGGTCGACAAAAATGTTTTTTTCTAAAATATTCCAGATGGTTTGCAGTTGACAACATTTAAAATTCCCGGGGCAGTGGTCAATAAAACGCAGGCTGTACTTTTTAAACTTGTGTACACGGTTTGTCAATTGTCGAACAGCCTTAGTTAAATTTATTCATCTGACGTTCACCACTTCTAAGTGTTCTGTGTTCACATGTCTCAACGTACTTAGTTGTGCACTTAGCTGTATTTCTACCAATACGTTGTACACTACTACACCTTGTACACCACCCCGTGCTTCTCCATTCAACGTCCTCCTGTGCTGTGGTTATTTTGTAACCGGAACAAATATGCTCCAAAGACATTCGGATTACTGGCACGGTTTCACTCCCTCGGTTCACTCCCAGAAACAGTTCAGGATATGTTCCGCTAAAAGACGTTTCCTGATCAGCGATAATCGTCGCATGGATTGTAAAATCTTAGCGGTTTCGTCAGTCAAAGTTGTCATCGGAGGTCACTAAATAGTCGTCTGAGGGGGAGGATGTAGCATGCCACCAAAGATTACTGGCTGCACACAAACAATGATCGTATTGTTGGGACAGCTGTCAGGTGGACCATGCAAACGTGAATGAAGATGAAACATTTGTGCACACAGCACATGGACCACATAGAAAAGTGTTCTAACTCTCATTTAAAGCGTGTCAAGTAGACGAATGCATCATTGGCCTCAATTAGATAGCTTGCTTTGCAGTAACTAAACATCGTAAATGAGTGTAAGAAGATACAACCACTTTTGAAGACGTGGGAAGAATGAAGGTAGTAAACAAAGCTTGCTTCCTGTTATTGTTCCTACTGAATCGTCCAGCTGTAGCACCCTTTCGGTGCTTAACTGCCGTGCCACCCGAACGTTGTACGAGGGCTGGGATACTGCCAGATTGTCCAAGCCTAGACAGGGGAAGTCGAAAGGCAGAGGTTGGTTTCGAACCTTCCGGTAAGTAAATTCGGGCTCTAAATACTTGGACCATCTCGCCCCCGTTCCCCTTGGCTAATACATCACGAATTTTATGCTGCCAGAAAGTACTCGAAAAGTTTGTGTGAAATCAAAAGTATGTACATTCTAGTGGAAGAAAGGAAATTAGAAGAAAGGTGAATGAGAGGTAGATGAGTTAATGAGTCACCGCATCAACTAAGTGACGGCAAGGTGAGACAAGCTTGTGGGCCCGGATTTTTCGCAGGCTAGTTCAAATTCGGAGATGGAAAAAGTTTCTTTTTGACACAAATTTGTGGGCTCAATAGTCGGATTAAAATCGCCTCTTCTATCAATGATAGTCTGGATCGTACCACCCCTGGTAGGTTGGGAGACATTTTGAAAAAAACTCAGTAGGTTGCTCTAGACGTAGGCTTTTTGCTAGCCGAATAACCGAGAGCCTGCGGAATACGTGCGTCACCAAGATTACGGAAATACCAAAAAATGTACAATCCTAAATAACAAGTAGGTGGACATATAATTCTAAATAAGAATTAAACTGTGTGGGAATCAGAACCAATTAAGACACAGTGTTTGGTTAAGGTCTCTCCCGCGAACAAATTCCTGGATGTAATGGTCAGTTACGTGATAGGCATTGTTGTTATTACGAGAGTTTGAAATGGCAAAAAATCTCTCTTACACGACTAGCCCGGGGAACCAATCCAGCCCATTTAGCTGCAAGTTATCTGGTGGTTGTTTAGACATAGGCCAGCGACGAGAATGAGAGCAGTGTGTCACAATGGACTCAAATTTACTTGTGTTTGAAGCATAGCACCACAGTGACTAACTATCCAGAATGGGATCACCACAATCATTATCATTACGTATTTCGTATTTCGAACGCATATCAATTGCACTTCCCGTACCGAATAGACACTGATCGTAAGTTCAATAGACAAAGATCTGTTGGTTGATGTCTTGAAAATTGTATGTCCTGGGTGGACAAAGAGCAACGTTGCCGTTTCACACACGATATTCGATGGGTGACCCCAGTTAGATTTATTGCTGGAGACTTCGCTTCATTTAGACGCCGACTCGTGGGAAGACTGCAATTATAGCCACTCAAGGTAAAAATGCATTGAAGGGACTTGAACAGGTAGCTTACTCGATATCTGGATACTAGGCGTTATGCTGTCGACAAGCAAAAAAAAGACGTTGTACTGGTACGTAGACAAATCGTATGGACGTTTCACGACAACACCTAAGAAGACTGTCATAAACGAGAGATTCATCCGGATTCAGTGGTGTCTACCGTTAAAATCAAATTGATAACAGTATTTGGTGAACAATTATAGCGCTTTATTCTACAAAGAGCACGACAGCTCAATTTGAGTGGTCTATAACATTATCGTAGCTACCCCTCATAAAACAGTCCGGAACTCCTAGCTGAAAAAAAAACATTTCACTGGTACGATAAACATAATTGGTATTTGTAGTATATTTGGAATATCCTCCAGTTTTCTGATGGCAGTTAGCTGTCAGTTCAATCGAATCGGTTAGATGGTCCCGTATAACATTTGAGTCCTTACTGATCTATTACAGTGGACACATCGAACATCTCTCAACAGAAGCAATCCAGGTAACCTGAGTTCAGCTAAACAAAGGGTTCTTTCCTGTCGATCCGCCAATTTTACACTTTCTTCTCGATATGTGCGCATTTCGGGCCTAGTGTGGTAAAGCGTTACCCTTCTGAGACCAGCCAGCATTGTTCAGACTTATGTCGACCGGCTACGAAATTACTTGGTGTTGACTGCATGTTGAAGTTACCATGACTATCAGTTGAATACTAACAGCAGCACCAAGCGGCCAAATCATTCGAGAACAAGAAAAGGATCCAGTGATTTTGCTGTCCAAACACACCTTGTGCTTGGAGTGAGGAGACGTGTAATGATGCGGTTTGCGTCAGGTGTGAAACCCAATTGGGCCAAATTTTTCATTCAGATCTAAACCAAATTTGTCAGTAATTGGGTGTAACTTGCGTCGTTGTGGTCTGAGGACGAATGCAGCAATCCATCGGCACTCTAGATTGTCCCATTGCATTTGTTGTAAATGATGCAGATTAACAAACCCTCAAATTTAATATTCCCACATGACCGTAGTGCACATTGTTGGGCGTCACACTGCTTGGGACATTTTTGAACATTCGTTTCAAATTTTCAATATGATTTGTGCGAAACAATAGGAATGCGTTGGTTGTGTTGTCTACCAGGAGTTCCAAAAAGTGCATTTCCGTTAGTGGTCCCACCTACTCAATGTGCCATTGTAAGCTCGCTGCCCATACAGCATCACTGTCTGTATCCGGCCGGCTAGTAGCAGATAGAACCGATTGATCTTGGATGCTCAACTCTGCCGTACGTATATCTCTGGTCTTTCTTGTCGTCAGCTCTAGCTACGGCTACGACTGCCTCCAATTCGCTGTACGACACATACGCATCGGTCATCACTCGTCATCTCTACCTCATCATTTGCCTAACCAGCGCAGCGGATCAGACCCGCAAATATTCTTGTGGATTTCTAAGAAGCCACGCAGCTGTCATACGATCCACGGAGCCGTCATATCGTTCGACTGAATTTTAAGAGGCCTTACCATAGTGGGCCTGATATAGTTATCTCACCTGTTCTATGGATTCATAAAGGCGTACGTGCAACGCCAAGTCTCAATGCACGCAGTGAAGTTATTTGCCAGCAAATCATTAATGCGTAATTGGAACCCTAAAGACTTGGCTGTCCGGACAAGCCGTTGACATTGCATTCATTGTAGTAGCTACCAATTACGGCCTACTGTTTTCGACGTTTCAGTCAGTTCTTCTCGGTCTGCTTGTAGTCTCGATAAGGCAAGTTCCTTTGCGTCGACTGGTGGGCTGTGTGATGCAGTGATACCGGGTTATACTCATAGGGTAGCTGATCCATGCTTCTGCGTCGTAGATGCACAAACAGCGAACCATGCGATTCGAGGGAACTGAAAAATATGGTAGCTGCCAAAGCGGTTGCAAACTGTGATGATCAAGTTTTGCCACGAAATTAGTTCAACTTGGGTTCGAGTAGAACATAAGGCTGACGAAAACTCGGGGATTCGCATACTCCCCAAGAAGGGCGAAACCGGTCGTGGGTTGTCTAAGTGTTTTCAGCAACCCTGTGGGTAGTTTCCATTAGTGAATACTGTCTTCAAAGCCGGCAACGTAGACGAATATTCTGTTGGATTCGAAAGAAAGAACAACGTTGCCATACATGGATTTATTGCTAGACTTTTTAGCAACCGCGGATGACCTTCTTCAGCAGTGGAATAATACAAGCCCATAAAAAAGCGGCAAAAAGAAGTCACATTGATGACTACCTTTACAAGGGGTCAGGGATGCACGTTTAAATCTGAGGTTTGAGGCTGGAATGGATGAATCACGCATCTGGTTGGTCCAATTATTGATCAATCGTAACTGGATAAATGGCATGACACACAAGTTGGGTGTGAACCCTCAAACTCCGAGCGACATCATTCTGCGTGTATCAAAAGTCCTTGATACAAAACCTTGATCAAACAAGACCAGTAAGCACACGTAAATCAATGACTGAGTCACTTCGCAGTTTTTCTTGGCAAAACGTATTCTCAGATGCCTGGTGATCGCTCAAATACGTAGCATCGCAGTCAGCTCTATCAGCTAGGGAAACGGGGTCCTCAGGGTAGGATAGGTGTTTTTAAATCGCATTGTCAAGCTTGAAGATGTGCACATGCTGAAGTCAGCTAAAATCGCGCGAGTAGGGGAATCTGCATAGCCGACAGAAAAATCTTACTTTTCGACTGTGGTCTCGCTTCTGACTCATCTACTGCCTCTTCTACGAAAGCCAGTGGATAGTCGTTATCTATCTCTTTTACAATGTAAATTTAAATGAATTTCAAGATATCATCAGAACTGATCCGTAATTGGATAACAATTTGGCCTATATTCAGTGGGAAACAATTCAAATACCGTCTAGAGTGGTTGGGCATACTCACGTATCAAGACCCGACTGTTTGATTGTGACAAGGTACGAGGTTGCTTCGAACCTTCAGTTTCACAAGCAAAATTCAAGCCACCACATTAGAAGTTAAGGCAAGCTGGTGGGTTATTGAGAAATTCACTAGCATGACCACGAATCATCGACCAGCGCTACCAAATGCGCGCTCGATTGCAAAAATTACCCATTACCGGTTTCCCTAGATTTTCAATAAAAATATTTGTCACGCACGATACAATTGGGGAAAAGAGAGATGTCGTTTTCATAGAGGAAACTATTCACAAGGTTGCTGAAAACTCTTCGAAAGCCCACGACCGGTTTCGCCCTTCTTGGGGCTCATCAGGCAGATGCAGTCCCCAAGTTTCCGTCAACCTTATGATCCACTTAAACCCAAATTGGACTGTTTTCGAGAAATACACTCGTTTGCAAATCAATCTGGTCTTCACGACAGACTCAGCTGAATCTCTCGTTTTTATGATATTCTACAACTGGAAGTGCTACACACAGGCCGCCTCATGTTTCAGTTGGCACGATATTCGAGATATCGCAGTAGAATATCATAAAAAACGAGAGATTCAGTTGAGTCTCTCGTGAAAACCAAATTGATTTGCAAATGGGTGTAATTC